TAGTTATAGTATTATTATTAGATTAGTGTTAGTATTACTATATTACTATCAGTATTAGAAATGATAATGGTAATGGTAACGCTAATGGTAATGGTAGTGGTAATGGTAATGATTGATATTAGTATTGGTATTGATCTCAGTATTTGTATTAGTATTGAGTACCGGTAATGGTAATGGTAATGGTCTTGGTATTGATATTGGTATTGTTGTTGATAATCGTAATGGTAATAGTAATGGAAATGGTAACGGTAAGGGTAACGATGTATTCGCCTTTTGTATATGGAAATTAAACCTTTGGTATTTAGTTTTTTTACCTATGTTGGCTTAATTTGTTATTTACACGGAATAATTTTTTTTACTTTGAATTGCACATCAACCATTGATTTTACTATTTCGAGAACTTTTTAAAATTAAATATTTATTTTTATGATAAATAACCGTGCAACGCACGGGTGAAATACTAGTAACTTAATTAATCATCAATAGTAAATAATTATTGTACTAATGTATATACCTCAAAATCATGTTTTGAGCTATAATTAATATAAAGCAATTAATTTCTCCCAATAAAATTATTGATACATGTCGATTTACTTAGAGCACCGACAATCATTTTAATCGACTCCTTAAATTCCTTGAATCTTAACCGTTTAATTTGTTTGGTGTGTCGAATTATAAAATATCACATGTAGTATTCGACACAATAATAAATCCATAAGTTCATCATAGGCACTTGACATAGTCGGAACTCGCAGCCAACTATATATTTGCATTGGTTAAACATACACTCTCATATAATAGCTTGCAAACCATACGAAAGAATTAAACCACATTCGGCTAACCATTTGTAACAAATTCGACCCAACAACCGTTGGCATAATCCTTGACGGTCTTGATTGAAAAATATATCATTTATAGTGTAATCAACCATGATAATAATTACAAGAGTTGGTATTAAATACGTAAAAATAACGCCTCTTCACCTTTTTGGAGCCAATTTATTGTAAAATACACCAAATAGAGGAAAGAAAATAAATAGTGGAAGGATATGCAATCGAAACTTTCCAATTAATTATAATCACTTAATTGAATTCCTTTTTTTGGTATTTTCCAAGTATTTTAACTCACCTACTACCTCATTCTTCTGCCTCAATTATCTCACTCTTCTACTCTTTCAAAGTTTAAGATTAAAAATTAGAAAAAAATATAAACAAGAAGAAGAGAGAGAAAATGGTAGAGAGAGAAACAGAGAGTGTTTATGAAAATGAAGAATCAGTCAAAGAATTTTCTGTTGAAGAAAAAGCAATTGTCTCACTTCCAACCGAGGAATTACCCTTAATTCAAAGTATTATTCTATTATTTTATTATTATTATTTCATTTTTTTTAGACCGTGTATAAGTATTTGTTCTTGATGTTTTTTTTGGAAAAAGCACCAAGAATATATTTTCTAAAAAAAAAAATTATTATTTCATGTTTGGTGTGTGATTGTTAGGTTAAATTTATATTTCTTTAATTATTAGTTTGTTTAATTTTGTTGATAGAGGATGAAAGTGAAGTTGCAAAAGCTATGGAGAAAACCAAAGACAGGGGTAATTATTGGAATTTATTATCATTGTTTACTTTTTTTTTTTTAATTTTAATTTTTTTATTTTTGGGATTATTAAGACAAAATATTGTTCTGTTTATATTTGGTTTGTACTTATATATGTATGTATATATTGGTAGATGTTGCGCTGGCACAAGTTGAAATGGAGAAGAAATTAGCTCTAATCAAAGCATGGGAAGACAATGAAAAAGCAAAAGCTGATAATAAGTAAGATATGACATACATTTAGTGTGTCTATTTTAGTTTATTTTATTTTATTTTTTTATTTTATTTTATTATAGTTAATTAAAAAAATTTAAACACATGACAATTCAGGGCATACAAAAAACTAAGTGCCCTAGATGCATGGGAGAGTACTAAAAGAGCATCCTTAGAAGCTCAACTCAAGCAGATTGAGGTCAGCATTTACATATATATATATATATATATATATATATATATATATATATATATATATATATATATATATATATATATATATATATATATATATATATATATATATATATATATATATATATATATATATATATATATATATATATATATATATATATATATATATATATATATATATATATATATATATATGTGTATACTAAGAAAAATAGGTATACATATATGTTGATTGGGTATGGGAATTTCTCATTGTTTATGAATTTGTTTCAAAGTTTCTGGCACAGACAATAACACCCAAACAAATACACACAGACAGACACACTCTCAGACT